TGACACGCGTGTCATAGGTTCGCCATCACTGCTCTAGGTGACCAAGGAAAGAAAAATAAAATGTACTACAAACATCATGAACCGCAGTGACACAGTGGTTAGAGTGCAATACTGCAGGGTACTTCTGCTGATCACCACTGCCAGCAGTTTGGCAGATCGAATCCCACCAGGTTCAAGGTTGACCCAGCCTTCCATCCTTTCAAGGTGGGTAAAATGAGGACCCAGATTGTTGGGGGCAATGTGCTCACTCTGTAAAACTGCTTAGAGAGGGTTGTAAAGCACTTTGAAGCGATATATAAGTCTATTGCTATTGCTATTTGGAGGTAGGAGAAACTTCTAAAGTAATTTACCAGATTCCCTGCATGGATTGCCCCTGTGACAGATTGGGAGAAAGCTAATCATCAGACTGCAAGAACAAGAGCAAACGGTTAAATGAGAGGATCCAAACTCATTGCAATGAACTAGGACATGCATTCAATTTTGCAGCTATTAAGATTGTTGGCTGAGCAGGGACAAAAATAGCCAGAGAACTGGAAAACGGGCCCCTGACCAGTCATTAGGAGTGCTGATGTACCATCACCAGCTTACCATGTACTTAGGAGCCAAGTGTGTGGTAGCACACTGAAACAACAGCTAACTACTTAATAGCTGGCCATCAACAACTAAAAACCACACAATCAGGCATCATATAAATACAACTCATAGAACAGCCACGTGCACACATTCTGAAGAGAGAAATTTCCTGAGGATGGGCTTCAGCATGAGCCTGAAAGCTTGGAAGAATAACCCTTTGGTTCTGGTGACCAACTCAGACCGAGTCCTGCAAGATCTAAAATGTATTTATTATGACATGGGATTAACAAGACTTGAATGGCCAATTAACCTAAAACAGTTGTATTTCTTTCTCTTCCCAATAATTACACAGAGCAAGTTCTGCATCACGAAAGAGAATCAGTATTTTTATCACTAATTCACCCTAACACTTGTGACTATGTCCATCTTTATTGATTCAAAACCAAACCAAACCCCACCCCACTCCCTTCACATCAAACCAAATCTAAGGGGAGGTAGGATGTCTTCCACATCATTAAAAGTTTTAAGTAATTGTAAATTCTTGAGTCCCTTGAGAAAAGGAAAAATACACGGGGAGGGGAAAATTATGTGCAAGCTTTGAAGTTGGTCACACTGACTTTCATGACAGGCAAGAGGAATAAGGGGAACAAAAAGAGATATTTCCTTACCATAGCCGACTGGTTGGTAAGTCCTGTCCCTTCCAAGTCTAAAACTTCTAAGGTGCGGCTGGATGCCACTGAAACAGCCAGCATCGCTGCTATCTGGTCACCTATGGAACAGAAAGCCAGATGATGTGAGAAAAAAACAGTGCAGCTCTACCAAATGGACCCACTTCAAGAGTAGCAGAACGTGAGGGACATCCATAGTCATCTGAATCCTGAAAGTTTCTCCACTTTCCCTCAGATTATGGCTCCTAATGCTGAATTCCATAGTTGCAGCTTTATAAAGAAGATGCTGCGTTAATACTTTACCGCGTGTTGACAGTGCAGGATGCTAGGCAATGTGAAAAAATTCTTTTCCTCCTGCTTTTCATCCTTGGCAAACTATATAAAAATAAAATCCTCAGACACTGAGCAAATCTGAGTAATCCTTGTCTCTCCTTGTCTCTGAGTAGCCCTCTAGCAGCTTATGATTGGTTAGCAGATGAAAGGATATGCACTGCTCCTTGGGAACTAAGGTGTGTGGTAAGGGGAGGGGGGGTTATCCATCCTGAGAGGGCAAGATGATGTAGGGCGTTCACAAATAGGGCCAAGATGTTCACATCTATCTCCTTTAGTGGGATGAGTAGTACAGAGCAGTCTGGCTCACCAGCTGCCAAATCAGCTCAGCAATGCAGCTGGGAAGAGAAGAAGTTTCCATGGCAACTACTGTTGGAACTCCTCTTTGCCTTGCTATTTTTTGAAGCGGCAGCTGGGAAAGGAATAACTTATGACCACCAAGCCCAGCAGTAAAGTTCTACAGGATGTGGGATAGAATCCAGCCAATGACCCCACAAATGCCGCGGAATCTGCAGAGGTAGTTCATAATCTTGGTTCCAGATGGCCCAATAGTGCTCTGCTGCTCTTCCTTTGTGTAGAATGGGGTAGTCCTCCGTCCTACTTTTCCAGAATAGAGTACGTGATGATGGCAGGTTTGGTTTTGTGCTTTCAGCTTTCAATTATGGAGTGGTCTCTTAAGCTCTCTTTTATTGCTTCTTTTTTAAGCATGTGGGTGGGAGATTATTCCTGACAAAATGGGCCTGGCTTACAGACAAGGGAAAAAAAAGAGAGGGGGAAACTAGATGAGGGAAGACCTGACTGAAAATTTACCAAGTCCCCAACCAGCCTTTGAAGATCAGGTGGGGGAGGAACAGTCCCAACACATCCAGAAAACAATGGGCTATAGCAGTGTTTCTCAACCTTGGCAACTTGAAGATGTCCGGACTTCAACTCCCAGAATTCCCCAGCCAGCTGGCTGGGGAATTCTGGGAGTTGAAGTC